CCCCTGTTACGCGCCTGGTGTTAGCGCCAATGTGTGCCCTTGTGCGGACAGGGATCCCGGGAATGTGCCCCCTCTGAAGCTGGAAACCTTGTTTTTGCAAAATAAATTGATGCAATTTGCTATTATAGGCCTAATCAATAAATTCCTCATCAACCGATATACCCTTAAACATTACTGTTCTGATGTCGTACACACCCTTCAGTGTGAAATGTAAGGAAAGAAGAGCTTAGATTAGTACCAGATAAAATAATTTTGTTATCAACAAAAATACATTATGCTAATGTTCGTCTTTGTAAGCGCATAAGACAGTGCAAATTATTTCTGTGACAGTCTTTCGAAGTGTGTAAAGCTCCACTTTATCCCATACAGTACATAGTCAAAATATTGGGGGGGGGGGATGATACAATGGACCATCCCCCTTGTCAAATATTGGGGGATATATCCCCCATCCCCCCGGGATCTACGCCTATGATTATTACCACTAATATCGATCTGGGGTAAAGTACAAGATAACCGTAGTCTGCGCACTAAGATGGGCTTCAAGATTGTTTCCCACTACGCGAATTTATTCGAGCGAATCGACAGCCTCGGTTCGCTTCCTGAGCTGTGATTGGTTGCGCATTAGGAAATAATGTGTTTTGATGCGCAAGATTCTCGTCTTAAGAAAGAAAAAAAAAAAGAGTTTTAGCATTGTTTGATTTTGGTTTACTTAGAGCAGTAATTTAATGCATTATCGAAGCATTACGCAATGCAAATAGTACAATACTTTCTAAGTAATATACATTTTACCAGTCAGTACAGCTAAAAAAACAGACCGCTTCAATGCTGTTGATGATGATGATGTTCTATAGTGACAATGTTGATGATGACGATTGCAATGATGATGATAACAGTATAATGATGATGATGATGATGATGATGATGATGATGATGATGATGATGGTGATGATGATGATGATGATGATAGACATTTCCCAGATATGCAACGATGCTATTTTATAATTATTGAAGTGGAATTGTATAATTTTGGTGGTTAAGATGCTTACCTTCCAATCACAGGGTCCTGGGTTCAATTCCTGCCAGAATTGCATGATTTTTTTTTTGGTCACGACTAAAACAACTCCACTCCCTAAATTTCATATTGAAATTTAGTTTGTATAAAGCATCGTGTGTTTATGTTTGTCTTGTGGAAAGGATTGTCACCTACAAGTAGTAAGGTGATCTATTCGCTATTGACAATCATTGGTGCATGCGTTGTGTACCTAAATAAATAATTAATTGCAGTAAATTATCAAAACCTGAAGATATAAAGATGAACCTTATGTTCAAGTTAAAACTAACCGAAGCAGAAATTAAATTTTATCTACTGCAATTAGGTTTAATTATTATTCTTAGAATTGTTACTGCTTGTAATAAATTTAATTTATTTTAGTAAAGAATGCCTAGTCCTTGCATGGTTGTTCGTGTTTTGTATTTGTATGTACGTTATGCATGTATGAGATGACAACATAATTTGAGTGAATCTGTATCTGAATGATATTACTGTAATAATGATAACCGGATCTATGCATTCACTCAATAGAAACCAGCTATCCTCATGTAAATAAATTCGTTGTATTCTATATACGGTTACCTTCTCATAAGGTAGCGTGCCTGCATTATATCGATTTTCTTCGCTGTACTCTTGCAGGCCAACAATAATAGCGTCACTTATTTGGCAACCAAATCGTCACAACGATTAACAATGACAAAATATTCTGTACAAAACACTTTATTATGTAAAGTAGTGCTGTGGGATTGTTCAAATAAACTTGAGGAGTACTAAACAAATAATTAGTGACGGTGCCAACTTGGTAACATTTGAATAAGGTAAATCTAAGTTTCAGAATGAAAAATACCTTGGTTTTCATAAAGTATAACAAATATTAGGCCATATATCATTAAAGTATTTAGTATATATTTCATCTGGTAAGCCTAATTGACTCAAACCGTCATTACAGCTAGTATATATTTTGTATATTGAATAGTTCGTGAGCATGTTTGCTAAATATTGTACCTGAACTGCACCCACCTCTTCTTGAATGAACGAGTCTAAAATATCAAGCCCTTATACATTGTGCGTAGATTATAGTCCTGGTTATGTTATCATAAGCTCTTTGAAAGTTGAAAGTTAAAGAAGGAAGTTGGTATCACTAATTGAAAACCCGACGGTAAATCCGCAAGTCTAACGCTATCAGTTTGAGCTTCAAGATGGAGAAACAAACTGAGAAAAATGACGTCGTTGATGGTGATGAAAGGGAAAGAGACATCATTGTCAAAGAATCTTTCTCAATCTTCATTAAGAAGAACCTGTTGATAATTCTTCTGCTAACTGCACTGGTGTTAGGATGTAGCCTCGGGTTCATATTAAGACTAGCCACTGACATCGAATTCACAGACGACCAGGTTGAATACATCCTGTTCCCTGGTGTTCTCTTTCTCAATATGTTGAAGGTTTTGATTATCCCATTGATTGTCTCCAGTCTGATATCTGGTATGGCAAACCTGGACCAACAGGCGTCTGGCAAACTTGGTGCCCGTGCCGTCATATACTACTTCTCGACTACCGCGATCGCCGTTATTCTTGGCATCATTATGGTGGTTACTATTCAACCTGGAAATGTTGCCGACGATGAAGACATTGACAGAATTGGAACTTCAGAACCAGTAGATACTGCTGATGCATTTATGGATCTCTTACGGTAAAATAACATTTAAAAAAAAATACTATTACCGGTACTTAATGCGTTAAGTATAATGTTGGATCTTAATCCCTTAACAACCCAGCTGTGTATACTGCTGAATACTCATCATATGTAATGAAAGAAATTTTGTAAACTATTTTTTACACATTAGTAATTTAATTTCCGAATTTTGATTTAATTGACATTAAAACTGAAGTTTACTTCTATTTGAACAGTGGTTCTAGTTGGACAATTATACAGTAGGCCTTTAGTACTGTCGGACAGTGATTGTATTCTGAGATTATCACACCTTCTTATTTAGACTTATATTAGCCAATCAGAACATTTCATATATTTCACACATTGCCCACACTTTCACGAGGGACATCCCCGTTATTTTTGTTTTATTTAACGCTCCAGGAAGACAATTCCACTAAGGAACGAAATTAGCCTTTTGAACATAGACAGAGATGCGTGTACATTTCAATTCCATTAGAAATACTGTACTGTTTAAGAAAGCAGCGTGTTTCTATGTAAGAGCGATAGATTAGGGCTACTTTGGACCAATGGACAGAAATTAGTTTAAGTTTTACAATAGTATATAGTTTAATGAACTATAAAATCGAGGTTGCTCAGATGAACTGTTGTTGTCTTCTATCTCTACCTATTCTTGCCTAGAAGTAGGCCTAAGTACAAACGTTAATACAGTACAGACGTAGAATCTGTATTTACACTTACAAATTGGTTTCTGAAGTAACATTCAAACCTTTGTATCTTATTTTATTCAGTCAATTACGGATGATAGCTTTTAGTTTAGGCCTCCTTCCTTTTTTCGGTGGAGATGTAGGGGAGGAAACATATATAGTCCCAACCTCAACACTTTGAACCAAATGTCAATGAGCCTTAGTCAAAAAAATTTTAATAACCCTGATTTATCATTAACTTATTAATGCGAAATAAAGTACAGTATTCATACCCAAATTTATAATGTCATTAACTTATTTGGGTGCTATTGATTCCAAAAATATTAACAATAGATGGAAGCATATACCAGGAAAATTACATCAGCCTCCCTGCATATACTATTCAATTTCTGAGAAACAAATAACGTTTAATTAAATTTATTTTATTTCTTAGAATATTGAAGAAAATATCTTGGAGCGTTAGACATTTATCTTTGGCACCACTTGTGTTAGTCCATTACTATTTTTTGTTTAATTGTTTAATTCCTGTTTTACATGGAATTGTCCTCGACTTTCAACTGACAAAAGCTATGTTGAGTGGGATAACGTGGAGAGTGGCGTCAGTATTGTTTATCTACGACGTACCAACGTCCAATCAAATGGACCTTTTCGCTAAGCTCCGCCCCTTGGATATTGTTGCTAAGGTCCCACAAGACGGCAGTGTTAAAACATACGCGAACACCTGCGTTTGTGGACAACACGTGTGTTTGTAAGACGCGCGTGCATTTCTAGCGCTGTTCTGATTAGTCAGTTGTTAAGTTTGATTGAGACTCCGGAAAGGTCTATTGACCACCTTATTTGCAGAAATTCTTATAAGTTTATGTCCCTAATACTTGGTAGGCCTACTCTCTACTTTTTCGATTCCAAAAACTAACATGCTATGCTGAATGACTATCTAAATTTTCGATGATTTTAAAATAGCATTTAATTAATTAAGATAATTTAGAAGAGCAATTAATTAATTAATATAATGAACATTATTATTATTATTAATAAATTATTATTATTATTTTAATTTTATTTTTATTTATTTATTTTTTAAAATTTCATTTTAACCACTTTTATTCATAGAAAATCCTCCAGGGGCATGGCAAGGTACAGGGAAAAAAAATCAAATTTCAAACATAAAAAATGTTTTTTTTTTATACCTTTATTCAACAATATTTCACTAGGGGCAAAGCTAAATAAAAGAAGCCCTTATAATAATCATAATAATTATGATTCAATCATGTAGGATTATACATTATTCAATGATGATAGTATACTTCTTATATTTCTTTTGTTTGTTAATACAATGCGATAAACCCATTTTTAAGCAAAACACAAACGTGGCATCTCATTGTTGACGTGATGTCCTCAAAGAAGACACCGTGTCCTTATTGGTCATGAATGTCCGGTGTAAATAAAGTCTATGGGTCTGTGATAGGCCTATCACTAAGACAATGACACTCGAGTCTATTGTTTACACGCCGTAAATTTAATTCATATAATTCCGTACTTATTTCGATATTTCCTTACCGAACTTCCTCTGCTCTTGACCTACGACTTGGTAAAATTCTACAAATCCTTGTGTTTAGGCCTAACCTTCAATTGACGTTATTGGTAAACACAACAAATGCATATAGGCCTTCATATTAAGCCATTACATTATTATTGTAACAGATATCAAATGTCTGAAATATTCTGTTGATTATTTACTTGGGAGTATCCGACATATCCAGCCAGATCATTTCCGATAACAGACGATAACAGAGTCTACCTCGTCTAGCAAGAAGAAATAAGCAGTAATTAGGAGTGCATTTTCAAGAAGCCTTATTGTAATATGTGTGGTATTATTTCACCTTAACTTGGAAACACGTTGAGAAATAGGTGCTTACTAAATCATTACGAATGACATGTGGCTACCATTTTATCATGTGGCTTTCGATGACAACGTGTCTAATTTTCCTAAAACTTCTTTCGGCACCTATTAATAGTATTACACAACAGCATACACAAAACATGGCTTCATGAACCTTAATTTTTCTGCCCAGAGAATATATTCTTTGTCGACCAATGAGTTTTGTATTCATCGACAGCGATGCTACCTAAAACAATTCTACGTTTAACATCACATTCCCCAAGAGTGAATCTAATAATATACACCTCTTTCCACATTTCATATATTCTTTCAATACTTATATACCGATATCACGCTTAGTGTTACAAACAATATGACGTGTATAGTTCGTTTTGACTTCTTTTATAAATAAATTCCATTTACAATTCACTAAGTTTTATACATTTAAGTATCTCTAAGGTTTTGTACCCGTTTTCGTATAAGACATACATCATCAGCGTACTTAGATTCAAAGAAATTGGTGGATAGGCCAAGTAACGCCGGGCACTCACTGCGTCGGAAGCCCGGTCTTACGACCGTCGCACGACGCATCCAATCCCCCGCTCCCTGTGAGCGCTATGTGACACGACGCTGCAGTCTTAACAACAGATCATTAAAAACCATCAGTTGTGAGCGCGTCGTCGCGTTGCGTTCTGTATAAATCTAGGCCTAGACCTGCAAGGTTAAGTACAAACAATTTGCCAGAAAGGCTATTACCTTGGAATGACCCTATACTGTACTTTCAAACTCTGTGGAATAATGCTCGATTCACTTTAACTTTTAGTTTTGTGTTTGATAACAAAAAACGTACTAATCTTATTCCATCAGTTGAACAACCTGCATCCTTCAACAAGCTTAGAACCTTTTGGTTCGGCTGGTGATATCAAAAACTTTCTACTGTATACCCATTTTATGAAATTTACAAATGTTAATGTTAGCATACAATACGCAGAGTCCAAATAATATCTAAGCAAGTACTACGCGTTTTAAAGTAATCTAAGATAACATTTTACGAATAGATTTACAGTACTTAAATAGGTCTCAAACTGTTCATTGAACCACTAGGCTTAATCGGCTTTTGTAATTGTTTACTAATACAATATAAACATGTACCAGTTTCAAAACAAGTCTTGAAAATATCATTGTACTGTGCATACAACAGTTCTTCCCCTGCGCACTTTATCGGTTCGTTCGGAACATCGTCAGGCATCCATTTAGTAAAAGTTTAAGTAAATATTAAACTTATCGTATTGTAACAACAATACAAGTGAGTTTTTTCTGAAGTTTTTTTTTTTATCATCAACAAGGAAGTATTACCGTACTTTTTTAACGAAAGTACGTCGGTACATCGGCAGTAATATACTATTATTCTGATACCATACGCGTCATCGAATAATATTGACATTTTTGTAATTCACGTTTTAATAAACAAACATTGACATCGACGAATATTTTTTCCCATACTAAGCCTAACTATGAATGCCCGCTTTCAATGTTCATATTTACTCATTCAATATTGGCTACCTGACCAGTCGTTTACATTAAATCACTCTATTATATCGGTTATAATGGCTTAGGCTCAAGTTTGCAGGATATATTTGGTATACGGGGTGTAATTTGGAAATCGTATTCTCATGTTTGTGCAAGGCGAGCCTTGTGAGCAACTTAGAGCCCCATATATTTATTGAAAATAAATCCATTGTATTAATTTTCACAAAAGAAATTTTCGGCCAGTCCTTCATCAGCTTCACTGAGTGCACAATATATATTTAAAAAAAAAAAAAAAATTAAACTTGATATCTTTCAGAAATATTTTCCCGCCAAACATTGTCGAAGCCTGTTTGAAAACAGTAAGTATTATAGAGTTAATGTACAGTTCACTTTTGTTGATTTCTATAATTCTTCATGATACAGAGCATTAATGCACAACCGAATAAGAGCCCAATCACACTTGAGAGTTAGGATGCTAAGTGAGGAAATAAAGGCATAGGCCTACTTTGCGATAACAAATACAAAAGGCAATTGAAATATTTGTCGACTTAGAAAAAATTTGACTTACAGATTGTTAATTAAAGGAAGCAAAAAAAAAAAAAAAAACAATAATGGAGATAACAATTTGACATGTAAAATAAGATTTAGAAATTATTCGACTGACGCACAGTCGGCCTAAGCAAGTTTAACTGTACTAAAGTCAAAATTCATTAATTGTTTAAAGTTATACGCGACGGTACTAATAGTTGTCGTAACGTTTAGTCCAAGATGATCTTTAACTACCAAGCCTTTTTAATTGGCAGTATTTATAGTTATACATCATTCTTTAAAAAAATTCTAATTCTGATCGGAAGTTATGCATACTTAGGCCTACATAACATCTAATCACAGTTCAGAATTCGTTTAAGACTGGTTTAACTAGTCACTCTCTTTAAACTAAGTCGATGACTATTATATTTTATTCTGGTATTTTAAACATCATAGACCAATGATTGCAGACGGAAACTCAATCACTGTAAATTGACCATGGTATTTACAAAAGTTGTTAAAAACGCATTACAACGGGTTTAGGCTAATATTCCATGGTACAAAAATCCTAAGTTCAAAATTTCCAATGAAAACACAAAAATAGAATTAAAAATAAATAGTGGTCTACTTATTTATGCTTTTTTTTTTTTGGTTATAGTACAAGACCCGACAGGTAGAGACGGATGACATGGATATGGACGATATGAACGAAACTGAAGAGGCAGTAATGTACAAGTCGGTTGGCGGATTTGAGGACAAGTCTAATATCCTCGGCATCGTCGTGTTCTCCGTCGCTTTCGGAATCGTTCTTGGAAGGATGAAGGAAGGTGGCGACCCGTTGAGGGCGTTTTTTAACTCGCTAAATGAAGCAGTCATGCAACTTGTGAAGATTGTGATCTGGTAAAAATACAATTAATTTGGATTTCAACTGAGTTCTAATATATGGCTATAGAACGCGACCCTGCAGTGATTAGGTTCATTTTAAGTTCGGTAGCTAGTTTGAAAAGCTTTAGAAAACGCAAATTGCGTTAACATAAAAGATTAATAGACCTTTCCGGAGTGTCAATCAAACTTATCAACTAACTAATCAGAACAGCGCTAGGAATACGCGCGTCTCACAAACACACGTGTTGTCCCACAAACGCACGTGTTCGCGTATGTTTTAACACTGTCGTCTTGTAGGACCATAGCAACAATATCCAAGGGGCGGGGCTTAGCGGAAAGGTCCATTACCCATTTATTAATATTCAAAATATGTAGAATGACGATATTTTAACATGCACATTTTTTTCTTTTTAATTTGATCTTTGATTGGGCCAGGGAGCACTTATTATTATGACTGCTCCCTGATGGGGCAAAGTTTGAAAAAAGATTCAAGCACGGAAAGTAACCAAAGTGCCGGACAGTAAAACCCTGTGCAAAAAGATAGGGAACGGGGATAGAAGAAGAAAAAAGGTTTTTTTCACAGATGTCATTGACGGAGATTTTCTGTTGAGCAGTTGGTGCGGCGGTTGCATTTCGGTCTCTCAACCTTGAGGTCAAGGTTCGAACCTTTCTGTGCATTTCGCTTATGTTCCTGGACAAGGCACTTTACCTACGTTTGTCCCTCTCCACCCAGAAGTATAAAATGGGTACACGGTTCACTACTGGGGAGGAAAAAGGCAGTTTGGAAAGGAACTAGAAACCTTACCACACAAAGCCGAGGCTTAGGACGATGGGCTGACAGCTCATTCCCCTACGTTCAGTAATGAACACAGACTACTTTTACCATTGACGGAACCTCTCCCCACCCCCAATACTGTAGTATGAGAAAAATCAGCAATATAAACTAAAGGTATCAAAAGTATTCACTCGTATTTCTCAGGGTGTCACCGATCGGTATCTTTTTCCTCATCATGGGCAAGATCATTGAAATGGACGACTGGGCGAAGATGTTCTCCCAGATCGGCATGTACATGGTGACAGTTATCGCAGGCTTATCCATCCATGGCATAATCATACTTCCATTGATATACTTTGTCTGTGTCCGGAAGAATCCATACAGGTTTTTGAGCGGGGTCACTCCAGCCCTTATGACGGCGTTTGGAACCGCGTCGAGGTACGTTTTAACAATTTAGAATTAATCATGATTTGTTAATATTAAAATTAATAAAAATATTAATAATAATCAAATTAATAATATTAATAATGTTATTATTATATCATATTATAGGCTATTATTATTATATTAATAACAATATTAATAATAATCAAAATAATATTAATAATGTTATATCATATTATATTATCATAATAATAATAATAATAATAATAATAATAATAATAATAATAATAATAATAATAATAATAATAATAATGTAGAAATAGTCAATATTAAATTCTCCAAACAAATATAACAAATTCCAATGAATGGAATACAGGTCTCCCTCTTATTGAAGACCCCTCCAATTAAAGACCAACTTTTTGTAGCCCCAAATTAATATCTATCTTTTACTTAAGCATAATTGTTCTAATAAAGACCAAAGCTGATAATACCATGAAACCCAGGTCCCAAAAGTGGTCTTCAATTGAAGGGAGACTATTTATATTGTTATAGATCTACCATGTATTCACCATAGGCCTATATGTAGTAATCATTTATTCATCAACTTTTTAAATAATTATTGTTTCTATTAACAATCTTCGTACGACGTAAATGTAAATTAAACCTTATTTACTCAACATGCAAATTGATAGCTTTGATCATTTTTTTATTCGTAAAACGGGCATGTGTAATTCATGTTTAAAACATACGGTACAGAAAGTAAGAAACGCTGCACTTTTGAAGGCTGGTTACACGTCGATAAGAAGATGTATTGTCCCTTGCTAATGTCAAAAAATCATTAAAAAAAGTATCTTGAAATAATCTTGCTCATATTGCAATAGCATACAAATTATTAACTTGTGCATAAAAATTATTTAATTTAAAAAATGTGTACCCTGATTTAAAAAAATAATAAAACACTTATAGTGACTGGAAGTGTTTCTATCATTTTTCGCTGTAAACTGATGGGTAGACATTTTTTAAATACAGTACACTAATTTCTATGTTCAAGTTGATGACTTTTATGTTACTTCAAAATGGGCAAGTTAATTTCAAAAAATATTTTTATGATTTTTTGGCATCTAGCATGGGACAATACATCTTTAACGACTGCGTCGTTTTATCGAAGAAAAAGTTTGTCAGGAAGTCGTTTGCAGCTGTTTTTTTTTTCTGGTGACGTAACACGAGTTCAACCATTATAAAACATGGGAGGAGCTATGTTCGTTTATGTCGTCCACTGAGCATTCCTTAATGGACAGTTGCTTCCTTTCATTTAATATGATTTAGCTCTGCTACGCTACCACTGACCATCAACTGCTTGGAAGAGCACAACCACGTGGATAAACGCGTAACGCGTTTCGTACTCCCAATCGGAGCTACGATAAACATGGACGGTACCGCCCTATACGAAGCAGTTGCTGCGATTTTCATTGCCCAGGTGAACGGAATAGATTTGGACTTTAAAGATATAATAACTATCAGGTAAGTCACATCCCTTAAATCTACGTAATAATCTACAAATTCATACGGTAACTAGCATTTTGAGTCGTTTATAAACATGTTTATCTTTATTAATCAAGAAAAAGTCAAGAATTTTTTCATAAAAAGAAAAACAGAACTGGTTTTCAGTCGACAAAATTCCTTAAATCTACGTTTAAAATAAAGTAAACAAACAGGAGCAGTCGCTTCATCTGAGTGCATACCTCTGCCCTGTGTTTGAGTACTGAACAATATTCAGGCCATGTATGATGGGCGGTTCCATTATTTCTGGCCCTGTGTCTGAATGCCGAACAATACGCAGACCGGTGTTTGATGGGCGATTCAATTATATTATTTTATGTTCGAGGGTATTTCTGTTTAAAACTAAGTTATCTCTATTTTCATTGTTATATATAAATAGATATCTTAGTTTTAAATAGAGATATCTTAATTTAAATAGAGATAGCTTTGTTTTAAATAGAGATTAATTAAGGATTGCACTCATGAGTTCAGTGGCGATCAAGTAGTGGGTGAAAGGAGAGCTCGATTATTTATTTACCACTTATTTACACCCTCCATGATGGGGTTGAGGTGGGCGTGGCTGCGTGAACTTCATTTTGTGCCCCCCGCCCCCGATTCGAAATACAGTAATGGATCCAGGAATTCGAAATAGAGAGGTTTTACAGATGGCGGGTGTACACCGCCTCAGCCCCACCATGGTTTGGGCTGATCATGGTAAGAAAATTTATGATTAAGCATTTCTAGTTCACTGGAAAAGGCACTCTCTTTTTGAAATTAGAAAAATTAGAAATTGTGCACTTTAAAGTTTGCAAAATTGTTTGGCTAATATAGGTTTACACGCTTCCGATTTTAACGCAAAGTGCACTACATTGTTTTCACAATAAATTGAGCCTCTGATAACTGTTTGCAACCATACATCGATGGAGTGGTTACTGAGGTACGAATAAAACTTCTTACTCGGTTTTGGTCCGTAAATATGCACAGCACTATGAACAGAGCTCATGTAATAAAGACAAAATTCATGAGTGTCATTGATAATTGTTCTTTCCACTCGCTTTTTAAAAATGGGTTTTTAACTATGGAAGATTGGTGAAGGGGGGGGGAGGGGTTAATTAATATGATGAGAAGGCATCATAGCGCCTCTTTACGGCTGCTAGGTAGCAAAATTTACAATGAATCGCAAGATTATTTTAAAGGGGAAGTCACCCCTAGATCTGTCTCTTATACACATCTAGATGTGTATAAGAGACAGACAACTCGGCTCGCCATATTACATTGAGAAAATGTACGTTCATGAGGCCAAACTTATAAAAGTTTGTTTCACTTTCTCCAGTAACGTGTTCCATTATCTTTTTTAGTATAACTGCAACTCTTGCTAGTGTGGGTGCCGCGGGAGTGCCGCAAGCTGGGCTTGTTACCATGGTGATCGTACTCAATGCGGTTGGTCTTCCAGCCGAAGACGTCACATTGATCCTTGTAATTGATTGGTTCTTGTAAGTTTAATTTTAGGCCTATTTGTAATCTGTTAAACACAGGACTTTGTATTTTAAATCACACGACAGTATAAAGCACGCATTATATTTTTAACTTTAATATTTACGAATTAATGTTTGTAATAATGTAAAAAAAATCATTAAAAATATTATCACTTTAATTTAAAGTGAATTTCATATTAAAAAAAGTAGAAAATGTCTACAATTTCAACGGCAGACTCAGGGAGGCCTATATACAGTGCTAATAGAACCTAAGACAACTATAAAAAGTTTTAAAATTTATCTTTTGAGTTTCGATATTTTTCAGGGATCGTATTCGAACCACGGTGAACGTTGAGGGCGATTCTTTTGGCGCGGGAATAATTGCGCACTTGTGTCGGAAGGATTTAGCATCGGTTGACGCGGCTACTGATGTTGACAAACTACCCTCCAAGCACGAGTACACAAATGGAGGCTACGACGAACCAACGTTTATAAACCTTGATGATGATGATACTAAATTCTAAAGTTCCCGGATGAAGTGACTAACAGCTTTACTCCACACCAACTCTATGTCGACGCTTAAATCTAATTGTGTCGCATTTTTCCTTGAAAGTATAATTTTCGCTAATCTTACAACTAAGCACACCTAAATTTCACTACCAAATGACGTGGTTTTCTTCGCACAGGTCCTTCGGGCCTGAGGCGGTACAGCAAGTCTTCTCATAACTAGCGCTTTGCTTCCTAAACTGCGGTGGCGGACCTTCCCTTTTATTTCTACCAATCCTCTTATAAGCCTACCTTTGGAGTCCTTAGGAGGTCGGCTTCCTCGCCAGCACCAGAATCAATAAACAATGGCGCAATATACAAATGTTTGTAATATACAATAAGAGGATATCAGCATATATAAATAAATATATATATATATATATATATATATAATATATAGGCCTATATGTATATATAGAAGCTTGGCTCACCACGCCTCCGCAGTCAAGTAGGACGTTTTCCATGTACACGAAAGGTTCGGGGTTCGATTCCCGGTGTTTTTTTTTTTTTTATAAATTAATACAGTACTGATATACTCGTAAGTAGGCATTATACGCAGACTTTGTTAACAATCAGTTCTAATATCTGATTAAGTGTCGATATATAATATAATTAGTCTCACAATATGTGGGGATAGATACCTTCTATTGTGTGGGCTTTGACTTTTAAAGTTGCTTAGAGAACACCTCTTGCAAGTTTCTGTGTGTATGGGTTAATAATATTTTTTTAATTGATGTACAGTTTCTTAAATACTGATT